CCCCAAAACCCCAAAACCCCAAAACCCCTTTGTGTATGTAAAATATTCAACAAAATTTCGACCCCAAATTTAGCTTCATTTAATTAGCATTTTAGTAAGAATTAGCTAACATTTTAGATACTAATTCCTAAATCATGGAGAAAAGGCACAAGAAATTTGGGTTTGACCCCAATCTGAGATATGATGAGTTTGAAGGCAGGAAGACCACCACCATGAAGAAGGTACACACTAGAGCAAAATACTTCAACCCCAAGAAAGAAATTGAGGTACCTAAGAAAGAGGTCGATAAGAAGCAAAAGCTTCAAAGAGCATTGAAGAAGTTACAGATCAATCATGACTCTGAAGATGAGGATAGTGATGATAGCCACGATACTGACTTATCTCAAAAGAGTTCTCCTAGAGCATCTAATACTGCACCTATGAAGAGGAAGAAGCCTGCTAAACCTAAGAAATCTAAAGTGCAAAAGAGATTAGAGAAATATGAGCCTCATGAGGAAGAAGAGTATAATGAAGAACAAATCAAATTCCTTTGACGTGGACGAGAAGGTCTCTTAGAGAATTTAGGAAAGTCGGATTACTTACTCAATTCAAATATTTCTAAAGAAGAGCTAGGTCTTATGGCTCTCAGGCAAGCAAGAGGAATTGGGAGTAAAGCGGCAAAGAAAAAGAAGGATCGTGAAAAAGAAAAGAAGAAGAGACAGAAGAAAGAAATGAAGGTAAAATCAAAAGAGCTTAAGAAAACTACCCTCTCTACTGAAAATCCCAGCGAAGTTGCTAAGAAATCAAGAAGAATTATTGATGATAGTGACGACTGTGATCAAAATAGCGTATCTAGCTTAACAAAGCTTACTGAAAAAGTGCAGAAAAAGGATCATAGAAAATGTTTAAAAGAGGCTAATCTTAACTGCCCTCAAACTAAACATAAACCCAAAATTCCAAAGCACAAATCCTCCTCTACTCAGCCCCAAGAGGCCAGTCCCAACCTTCTTCCCCCAAAACACCCCCTAAAAACCCCCTCTTCCCAAACCCCCCTCGAATCCCCACCAAAACCGTCCTTAAACCCCACCGACCCTGACCCACAAATCTCAGCCACTGAAGCCCCTCCCAATCCTACAGACCCTGAACCAGAAGCTGACAGCCAAGCTGGCACAAAGAACAAGAAGAAGAACAGGAAGAAGAAATCTAAGAAATCAAGTAAGCCAAAGCCATTGCCAGTGCTTGTCCTGCCTGAGTTTAGTTGTATGTTCTGTAAGAGGAAGTGTCCAGAACCTATGCGGTATTTGAAGTGTAAGGTATGAAAGGAGTGAAATTTCCAGGCAATTAAAAATGAAAGAATTTATTCCTCCCAAGTTAAGTGAGAAAGCAGTTGTGTTGGCAAATGCCGCTTCTGTGAAAGAGACAATATTGAGATATACCACAAAGATAGCTGCCTGATCTGCTACTGGAGTAATCATATCAAATACCCTATAAGCTTCGAGGGAACTTTGCACCTTGATTTCTCTGTTGAGGCTAAAAATAAACGCAAAGAGGCCCAAAAGAAGCAGAAATTGGAAGAAGCTAAACTTCGTTACCAAAGAATCGCTTCTATGCAGAAAGAGATAGATATAAGAGAACGTAAGGCTATTCTAAAGAAGAATAAGAAGATATTGCACCTAAAGAAGCTGAAGAAACTTGACCTTATCTAATTCCTAAAATCAGTGAAACATTATGCTTTCAATATTTCAGATTTTTCTCGGGGTTTTGGGGTTTTGGGGTTTTGGGGTTTTGGGGTTTTGGGG